TCCGCTATGTGATTCACGAAGAAGGAAGAACAAGAGCGGCATCTGCCTTTCCTTGATGTACTCAACAAGCGAAATTCCAAAGGTGAAATTGTTGTGAACTGTTGTGTGCTTGTAACGTTGATCCATCGCATCCGAAATTTACCTGTCTCTCTTCCAACTCTGACCTGTTCCATATGATGGGCTTCGTATATCGCTGCTCCAGTTCTTATGTTAGTGTACCAGACCGGGACATCTTGACTAATTTTCCAACCCTTGAGCAAAGTCTTCAAGAGGTCTTGTACCAATGCTTTCCTCATCGAGCAGTCCTGGAGTATAATCGCTTGGCCGAGTGTTCTTCATCCATCCTCAAAATGTGGTCATTCCATCGTAGTTGTATCTCCTTAGCATGGCGTGGATACTAAGGAATCTTGTTATTTCCAGAACCTCTCTGCCAGGGAGGTGTGATTGAGTCCTGTCCAGCGAGCCGCGTTTTGTGTCATTGCTCCTCACTACTTTTTTGTCCATTCACGTCGACTGTAATCTCTTCTTTTTTGTTCCGGCGTATTTACCTTGCCCTCAACTTAATCAGATTCGGTAAAACACTCTATGCATATTTGTTGCCATAGCAGCACGTCCTTTGACTTCATTGGTTGGTGCCTAATAGCTGCTCCGTGTGTATGTAAACATCCCCATCTTTTATTTTAGAGAATTCAGCGTTCACAGGGACATTTTCTGGCAAAGCCACTTTCTTTGTTCCTCCCCCTTTGCTTTTCTTCCTCTTTCTTCGTATGTATCATTAGTCATTTTTATATTAATAGGGGTTTTGCAGATTTGAATAATTCATGTGATACGGTTGCATAAAACGGGACCTCGGTAAAATTCAAACGCTGGTTGTACTAAAGCATTTCCTTGCTGTAATCTGTTCGAATCCCACTAAAACCACCGAGTTTTTCGCAACTAAGTCAAATGACCTTTTTTCTATTGCACCTTATTCTTCCTACTGTCTGAAAGTACTTCGACGTGCAAATATGGTAATGTTTCCTTGGAGTACCCCCACGGACCAGAAACCTGAGCAAACAAAAAATCATGCTCATAGTGTTACGCCAATTTAAACCACTACGTGGATGGCAATTCCCTTGTTGGAGAGGGATGTACCACGTTGAATGACCGTTTTTGCTATATCCGAAAATATCTGTGTGGCAGCTGGTATTCTGCATTCTTTTATTCAGGTGTATCTATATCAAGAAAGGGACCATTTACTCCGCCTGTATGCAGAAAACGATCGAATTAAATTGCGCGAACTAGATGACAGACGGAAGATTCAGCACCTTCTCCAGCTCTCGGGTCTTGGACCCGCCGAAGTCACTTACT